TCAAAAATTACAAGAGAAAAAAATTTCACAAAATTATCTTGTTTTTTGAATAATGGGAAATTATTTAATCGCTCTGAAAAATATGTAATTCACGATCAAAAAGTAAACACGTCACATCGATACTAGAGCGCGAATAAAAATCGAAAAATTAAAAAAAAAAAAATTGACAATTTATGAGGAGAAGTTGAAGACGTTCACGCGTAAATTTGCCGCACTATAACTGCACAATTTTGTTAGCGAATTATATCGTGTACCCATTGCCCTTTCGTTCTTTCCCGTATGTCTCCCCTTTCTGCATTTCCTGTTCCTCGGGACTCGCGGTTCTCTATCCTCGTTTTTCTCTGCACCTGGATCACGTTGCATTGTTCAGCCTGGCAGCGGATATACAGAAGCGAAATGGCAGAAGAACCTCGAAAGAAAGATTCGAAAGAAAGAGAGCAAGAAGGAACGAGCCATTGAACGAAGAGAAACGAACAGGCCAGGAGTTAGTAGAGAGAAGTAGTCGTGGCGGCAAGCCGGGAGGGAGGCAGGGTGTGCACAAACGGAGATAGGGAAAAGACAAGGATAAGCACAGACAGAGATAGAGAATAACAGAAAAAGCAGAAAGAGCGCAGGGGCTAGAGAGGTGTTTTTCTTCCAAAGGGGACTTTGCACGCTCGTCTCGCTAGTGGCATGATGCCGTGTAGGAATCGGCCCGCGCACGCTTTTGGAGAGGGGACAAACGAGTTGTCAGTACCCGAGAGAGTCGGGTCGCGATGGTGGCGGAGAAGGGAGAAGGATGGAGCGGTAAGCCGATAGGGGAACGGAATGAAGCGGGTTTACGGAGCAAGGGGAACTTCGGACACGATAGGAGGAAGGATAGAATCGAGTGGTAACATGGTGGGGAACGCTCAGCAGGAGGAGAAGGGCGTCAGCTGCGTACAGGCAGCTGAAGCGGGGCCAGGGGACAAGGGAAGCGGTTGGAACGAGGAGAGCTGAGTCATAACACTGTTGCCACGTCTTCGCCGGCCTCGTTGATACGTTCCAACGCTGCTGCTTACGACGTTTGCGGCTTATGTCAGTGTCGTCTGCCTAGAATGGTACTGTTGGAAGACTTTTCGTGCCTTCTACACGTATGTTGAATAGACGTAACAAGCTTGACTGTTCAAGTTTATTGGGGAATAAAGAGACTTTATAGATTGTACTGTTTCATTTGTTTCAAGTTTCAACATCTAAACTGTATCTATATTTCATTATTCACATTCTTTAAAATTGATATTAGAAATGATTTCCTCTATTTGTGTGTATATTGTGCATAATAATTTCGAAATTTATTTTATAGCAATTAATAAATTTCAATCTCCTAGAGAAATTCCTTATGATATTAACATATTCGTAGTGGTAGACAGCTCTTTTTATTCTATTCGCGGTTAGACCCAAGACGAGAAGAACGTAAAAGAGGAACGGAAAAAAGTCGAGGAACAAAGCCTCTTTCTTTGTTGTTATCCTGTAGTGGTCGTTCTGCATTGTATTCCTTTTTATTCGTGCCGTTCTTCGCAGAATCGTAGAAGCTCTGTGTATTGTTAGATCGACACACTCATGGAACTTGGAATTCTAAGATCTGACGAAATATAAAGAGAATTCCTATTCATAGACTTATTTTTTTCTACAACATATTTTCTATGCTAACATCCTGTTTATATGAAATTATTCATTGGTTACTGATAAAATAGGTATATCAATATTTGTAAATTTAATAAATTTCAAGACGTAACGTAAATGCTTACGTAACACAATACATTCACGTTGAATTTCCAACAATGAAAGTTTGATTGATAGGTTTTTATAATAAGATTTCCATTATATTAAGATATAAGTGGCGAATAAAATATATTTTAATAGATTAATTAAATTTTGGAAAATTGAAGTATTTTTTATCTCCTTTTCTTTTTCATGCTCAGAGCATACACACGTTATATATATATATACAGAGGACCTAGGAACTCTTAACCGTGAGCCGATGTATTGATTTCCTGTACGTCTCCCATTTCAAACGTAGAAAGACAAACGATCGTCGGAATGAATTTTATTATACTAGATTAAGATTCTTTGTGTCTTGTTTCTGATTATATACATATACATGAGAAGCACTTGTATGTCTAGAAATAATAATGATATCATTCATCTAAAATAATTTTTTTTGATAGAGAAAAATTATAAAAAAAAATTCACTATAGACCAAAAAAAAAGAAAAAAAAAATTTTTAAATAATAATTAATCAATTACGATATAATAAAATTCCTAGAAATTAATCACTAAAAATTCCAAATTTAATAAATGAAGAATATCACACTCCAAGCATCTTACAGAATTATCACTATTTTTCTCTCTGTACACAATGAATATATATTTTTTATTCGTACACTTATAAATATTTTTTAAACGAATTAGATATGAATAATTTATCAATATATTATAGAGCTGTATAATCCACATCGATATGAACGAAAATGACTCTGACCTAGAGACTTGAAATTTATGGAAAGTCATGCTAATATCTTCACATAGAACTCTCGCCATACTTCGGCTCTTATAGAAAGAAGAAACGAAAGAATCAAGTCTGGGAACGAGTCTGCCGAAGTAAAATTCCTCGACAAGCACAGCGCGAGCGGGGATTCTGAAGGAGAATATGGATACGGTTTGCGGCTCGCTAGCCAGCCAGCCAGCCACCGTGGCACTTGCTTCTTCCCTCTTCTTTCTCCTCTGGCCTTCTATCTTATTTCTTCTCCTCTCGTCACTCCCCTCTCACCCGCTTTCACTCATGTGTGTCAAAGAAAAGGACGTAGCTGTGGTGTATGTGCGCATAAAAGACTTACAGTGTTACTTCTCGATTGTGTGCGTCGCTATATGCGCGCGCATCTGTTTCTCACATGAGAATGCCAAGATAGGAAAACGAAAGAGAGAGGGGAAAGGGAGGGAGAGAGGGAGGAAGCCGAATGAGAATTGGGTGGGATGAAAGTCTTATAGGCACAACACAACTGCGATCGAATCTCTCGTAAATGTCACGCAGAATAATATCCGATAATGATATTGCGAATTAACTTATTGATCTTCTTTCGTTCATATTCACTGATTTTTTTTTCATTTTTTTTATCCACTTTATTGTCAATAAAATTTCACCCATAGTTATTGTATTTAATGCCATAACAAAGAAACAAAATTTCGAAATAACACTCCACATATATCACACATTAAATAATTCCCGAATATCCATGAGAAGAACATATACTATCGATTGCTATTACATTTTCGAAGAAGATACGCGAAATACGAAATAGAAATGATTCGGAAATCGCTTGTAAACGACACATTGCTGCTATGGCTGCCATTTTGTAAGAGCAATCTTCGAAGGGATGCGCAGATACTAGAACTTGTTTCTTATTCGTTTTTTTCACCTCTTTTTTTCGCAAAAAAATCAAAATAAGTCGCAAAAATTAATTTCTGCCGATCGATATTTTTAGAACAAATTCTGAAAGGAAGCAACTTTTTTTATTGCACATAATATTACATATTCCAATTCGTTGAACGAATTCTCGAAATATTCAAGACAATTAGGAAGATCAAAACTCATTATATAAAAGATTCGCGTGTCCTTTTCTCGCAATCAAATCACACGCATATGGAAGAGTGACTGACCACGCCCCATTGGGAATGAACCGATATATCACGATATAAAAAATGCTCGAGTATTATAAATAATGAATTTTTGATATTTTCATTTTAAGAAATGTTCACCGTTCCTCGATTTCATAACGGTTTAAATATTATGCGTAGTTAATCCAAATGAAGTATAGTATCCAAATTGTGCCGTTCAATTCTCGCGCATTTCCTCTTTCGCGTTATTACTGACGCCTGTGAACGTGAAGAACAAACAACGGATTATTGTGATATGCATTTTCCGTTGATATGAGTATTAAAAGCTACGTGTATGATCCGGGAGAAAAAACAAAGGCTTTCTTCGGAAGAACGCACAAGGAAATACGTGCGACTCACGCGAGATTAAACGAACAACTCCCCGAGATACTCCGAAACCGTTGGAGTCTTTGCGCTTGCGCGTAATATTCTTCTCTTGATCGACCTATCAAGATGCTCGGTTCCCCACTCTCGATTTGTTACCCTACCTCACCTAGTAAGTCCGTTTCTACTCTTGCCGAGCTTTTCTGTACATAGGGTGTGCCAGAAACAACTTTGGTTCTTTGTTTTCTTTAATTTCAACGAAATTCAATATCTCTGTTCTTTATAAGATGAAAACAAAACAAAATTTTTTTTTTTAAGCCTACAAAATTGCGATCGACCAAAATATAAAACATATATCATATTTTCTAAAATTCTTATCTGCTGTATCTTAATATATATTAAGAAGTAATTTGACCTCAAAAGTTTTGAGCAATTAACGATAACTTTGTTATTATAAAATAAATTATATTGAATTTTGATGTATAAATATCGTGAATTATCAAAGGAAATTCAGAATTCATTAAGAATTGTGAATTCGGCTTATGTTTTTTGCATTGCATTCTAATATAGCGTCTAATAGCGCGCTTTTTTTGTGATCCAAATTACGCGATGAAACATTGATGAAAATTTTCATTTGATTGAAGATTTTTTTATTTTGCTGTTTTTATCACATTTATTTTTCTTAACATTATTATCTATTTTCATAATAGATATCAAACGATGAATTTATGTATACATACTCATATTTATTTTTCTTCTTTATGAATAATTCAATAAATCTAAATGCTATTGATATATATATAATAGTTTATTAGTATATAATAGTTTAATATTAATAATTTTCATTAGTAAACATTTTTCTAAAATTTAATAAGTTCTTGATAATAGAGATTATTATTCGAATTCTTGACCATAATTTTTTCTTAATTTATTTACTATAAATCTTAAAAATAAAATGAATTCTATTGAATAAATATGAATAATATTATATTGAATGTTTACAGATATGGACGCGTGCAGAGCGTCAAGTTGCTGCCGCGGGGCGAAGAATGCCCCGTGGATGGAGGTTCCGGTGGTTCCCTCGGAGAAGGTAACGAGGGTGGTTCCGGTTCCAATTCTGGCAACGGTGGTAGTGGCGGGGGCAGCGGTTCCTCAGGCAGCACCGGGGGTGCCTCCGCGACGGTGGCGTTCATGGATATCAAGTCCGCAGCGAAGGCCCACGCGACTGAACATACCTTGGACGAACGAGCCCTTACCACACAATACTACGAACCACAACATCTTCAGCACAGGTTTCCCTCGCACGGGTAAGTTTCATTCATGCTTATATAATGTTAAAATTTGGAAAAATTTTTTATTGAGTAGTAATAAGTAATATTTGAGAAAAGTAAAATATTTAATTATAAGAAATCAAATTTGCTATCCTCGTTCCTTTTAAATAATTATTTTTTTTAATGAACTGTAGTACGTATGTTATGCAATATCTAAATCAACATAATTATTAATTTGGATCGTATTCTATTATGTTCCTCATTTGCATAATAAAAAGTATACATTTTATATTTAAAGTCGTTTATATTTAAAAGTCTAAGTTTGCTTTTTTACACGAATTGCAAAAATTTCGAAGTTAAAACAGTTGAATATTTTGGTTCCTAAAGTGATACGTATAAATGTTGATTTTTGCGATGAGTCACGTCGCAAGAATTAATTGAATTGCACGTCACAGGAAGCAGGTAAAACGACATTTCAATGTTGTTACGGACGAACGGCTGTTCCATTATCTCTTTTTCCTAACAAAATTCACGTACAATCTGTGTATATTCATTACGATTCTCTGTCCATTCTAATCTCACACTGCATCCCTTCATTTTGCGACTGGTTACTATTGTTGGATTTATGCGTTGTTGCTGTGTTCATTTATCAGTATGTACAATCATCGTTCATGTATTATATATACTTGTATGTAATACATCACATATTATATGAAAACATACAATATAATGTATATATGGAGTAATAAAATATTAAGTAGAAATTATTTTGATATATATATAACCTTAAAATATTAATATTTTAAGATTAAATATATAATTACCGCAATAATTTATTTTTCATCGTTTTTAGATATATTTAAAAAATGTATATGATAACAAAAATAATTATGATTCTATATAGATATTGTCGTCTGAACCTTAACCTCTTATAATGTTATGGTCAAGGTTGACATATCACATTGTATTTCATAATACTTTTTTTATTCGTTTTAACTTGAATAATGTATTTAAAAAATCCTACAATTCAAAAAATGAACATATAACTTATTTGTTTTCAAATTTTTTTCATCTCTGATAATAATTCAATTTTAAATCACTAAAGATAATTTTAAACTATGAAATAATATTCTTAATAAAACTTTGGTAATAATTAATGTTTCAGTTTTAAAAGTTTTGAATAAAACTTATGAAATATGCTTATTAAAATAGATAATGCTGTTAATAAATGTCTATAGCTACTAAGAAGTTTAATTCCCTAAATTCGTGCATTTTCTAATATAAAATATGCTTACCAATGTTTCCTCGTATCACAAAGCGGAATAAATCGGATTATTAATTTAATAAAATATTCCACTCTCATACACGTTCTGAATAGTTTCGAACAAAATTGAAACAAGTTGTTTAGACATGCACTCACACTCAAAAAAAAAAAAAAAAGAAATACGATAAAGTTTATCTTTGAGTTCGAATTATTTGTTTATTAATGAGTTTTAGAAATCAGTAAAATACTTGAAACGGCTTTGCCTTTCCGTATACACGTAATACGTGTACATTCTATATTCATCCTTGAATTACGCAATAAACTCGTTCGAATAATTTTCTGACAAGAAAAGAGTAATTTATCGATGTCCATAGCCGTAACCTAATTAACGCTTCGGTATAATAGCAATGAAGCCGTATTTTCTGCTTATTTTTCAGAACAGCCGATTGTATTCATGTTTCTCAGCGAGAACGCCGTACAATGTAACGTATAATACAATTATAAACCGATAACGGTCGTCACGAGGCACAGTCGCGCGTCATGAAATATCATGTTCGTGGAAATAAACCAACCGATAATCGATCGATGGAGTCCAGTTATCGTATTATTGTTCGCTAGCACATTGACGCGTTTCGATCGTAATCCATATTCACGATCGTACCACTCGTCAAAACGTTTTTGCCACGCACTTGTTTTACCAGGCCACGTGATATATACGACGTGTCCCAGCTATTCCGGTCTCCGTACGCGTTCAAGCTCTCGAAGAATCACCTTGTTACGTATACCAATTACGAGAAAGAGATCTCGTTATGTACTTTCCTCATTGCTTGTCCATGAAAAAAAATGTACAGCTTTTTATTATATTTCTAGTTGCATTTTCTATCAAATTTTCATATTCTTTTTTATAGAAGTTTTCAAAATATAGGCAAAATGTGTTCTACCAGCATTCATCGCATACCTTATCCGCGCACACGATAGCGTCGCGTTTCTACGAAAAGTCAGGTGACCGTGACGACGTGGTCGGTTGCGATGTTGCCACGTCCGAGGAACTGTGCGCGCGCATCAGTATACGAACGGCTGTGAACCGAGACGGAGGGGAGACTGCTTTGTCTTTCAGTAACGTAATAAGAAGACTATGAACCCGATGCTTCGAAGCACTAGTAAATAGTTTTGAAAATAAAAATTTATATTTTATTAAAATATTATTTATTATATGACTATATTGACAATTTAAAATGTTTCTATAGAAAAAGTTTATATTTATTTTCTTTTAAAAATTTATTTGTTTTAAAGAAAATTATATTTAAAGTTAAATTTATTATAATATATAGAATATATATATAATAATAGAAACTTGAGTAAATATGTAAATATATAAGAGTAAATATGTAAAGTTTTCAATAAATTGACAGTTTTAATAAATAAAATATGACATATAATTTCGTGATAATATTATTTTAAGATAAATATTTAAAAGAAAAAAGTTATAATGAATCACACACATGAAATGATAGTATTTTCCTTTGTTTATGAAATAGATGTTTAATTAGACGATTTATTGTGGCAATTATCGAATAAATAAAGGTATTTGTAATATTGCTTGACTATGACATCATTGTTTAAGGTCTACGAATTGATAACAAAGTTTACGATTTACATATGAGTCATTCATATGGATAGACTTATAAGTATAATAAATATAATTTCTTTTTAGTTCGTTTTTAATGAGACAATCGTTACATAGATTTAAAATTTCATCAATTAAGTCGAATATGATGTTATTTCCAATATTTTATTTTTGTAAATCATACATATGATTTGATGATTTGTAAATTCAATAGTAATCATCGTAAAATGGCTATTGAAGGAGAACTGTCTTCCATTATCAATGTACACACACACACACACACACAAATACATTAATATAACCCTGAAAATAACTTATCGGCAGCCATACACAACACGTGCAATTTCTATTTTGTAACAAACTTAAACACTAGAAATTCTAAGAAATCCAACGCGTTGTTAATCATAACAAAACTATGTTGCGTTTAATTTTCCGTGAATAAATTGATGTACAAAAATCTTGATATATGAAGTTGACCAAAAAAAAAAAACAAATAACGTAGATTAATAATTGATTTATTATAAATTTTTATTAAAAACGTTTTAAAGAATTTATCTATTGGTTTTATATTAGGCATATAGACACTTAATAGAGCGTCTACGAACGAAAATTACCGTGTACAAATTTTTTCACGCGTTTTATCTACGATAAGCTTCGTTCAAATCGATATCAGTAACGTTATCACGTTTAGCATGGGCGTTAATCGTAATAACTTAATGATGATGCAAGACTTGCCTTCTTTTCTCTCTCCCTTTTTTTTTTATCCAAAACTGTTCGAGCACGAACTCTTAAATAAAGAGGTCGAATCGATAAACCGATGTGATTCGTTCGCAAAAATGAACTTTTTCGAAGACGTGTATTTTCTCTGCGCAATCCACATTGACGAATTTGATACCGTATATCATTCTGTCCTTCATACAATGATTTTTGCTTGCTCATAGATGTTTTTCTGAGCTAATCACATACTTCTTCCCTCCATATTTTTTTTATTTCTCGTGTTCGCAAATTAAACAATATTGCGTTTCCCAGACAACAAAGACTTATCGTGTCGATCTCGAAAACGCCATCAATATATTTACTCAGTATATCTTTTACTTTATGATAGAATAAATAAAAAAAATCATAAAATTTAAACAAAATTCTCACAACAATTCATATAAAAAAGTTTCATAATAAATAATTAATATATTATAATTTTAGACGTAAACATAAATTTTGTAAAGATTGTAAAGAAATTATTTATTTATTAATACAGATTAGATAAATGCAAAATTTGATCATCTTGCTAGCTCGAGTATAGTGTTAAATGTTACATACATGTGTTGAATTTATGTTTATTATGTGCCATAAAAATTTGCCATTTAGACAAATGAAATTACATATAACAATTAAATAATTGTTGTTAATTTATCTTATCTTTAGTCTTCGTAAGTAGCTATTAGAAAATTGTTGTTTGTTAAAACAGACACGCAGATTATGGCATTTTTTTTTAAATCCATTTTAATCGACCTCTTGAAATTTTTACGCAATTCACGTTGAATCTGAACATGTAGGCTGGTTGCATTAATTATTAATGTATTAATTTCGATTCTGAAATTAAATATGATTGAATCAGCATTATTTATCAAGGATAAAAGAATTTTATTTCATTTTTTTGCATTTTTTCCTTGTTAATTCCAAACTCTTATTAATTTTATGTAAATTTTAATGTTATATAAATTTTCAATTAAAAATTAATGATTTATCGAGGGATATTGTTATAGTAGTTTTAATCTATGAAATTAAATTGTTTTACATCACAAGAAAGAGAAAAATTTGTGATAAAAATTGTGAAAAAAGGCATTGATAAAATAATTTTAGCTCGATATATTTTAATTTTAATGTCATAAAATTTTTTTTTGATATTTATTTTATCAGATTATAATTTCGATTTTACAATTTCACTATAATATTGTCACATTGATTTTATAAAAAATCTTGTAAACGATATTTAGATTATTCTATATAGAATAGGCAGTTTGCATTAAGTGCATTTTCGTGAACAATTTCTATTGTAATGAATTGATTGCATATCGTTGGTATTGAAATGATAGTATCGATTGAAAAAAAATTATAAATATACATATAATATTATAAATTTAATCTTTTAATGTAAAATAATGCTTTTTATTATAATTATTATTTATATAGATTTATTATTATTTATATATAGATTATTTATATAGGTACTTATACATAAATGTATTTTAACTTTCAGATAGATAACTAGACTTTTTTTGCGGTAGACAATTTGTTTTCAAGTCTAATTTCTTATTATTTTGAAAAAATCTTGTTTTGAACAAATTCTGAAATACTTACGAAAGTTTATAATATAATTTATTTAAATCTTTACTTTTGTTTTGGAAAAAATTGAACTGGGACATTGCCTACATATGGTAAAGAAGATATATATTCTCACATTTATAATACAAAATAAAAAGGACGATATTTGTAAAACAAACAAATCATAATCCATCATTCTTACTTGCAAATAATAGGAATTCAGTTGAATTTCGTTTATAGCATAAACGAGTATCTCATAACCGAAAGAGGGGCTCTCATATTCGATCGAATGATTTCGGTAAAAAAAAAAAAGAATAATGAAAAAAAAGAAGGATAGAGAGGAGGAAAAGAAAAAGGTGTCGGCTGTCGGTTAACGGAAAATTTCACTGTACATCGATAGAGGCTCGCATGGCAACGTCCTGGTTCCTCTCGTAGTCGCGAGCAAAACAAGATCGTTGGAGAAACGAGAAACGGCCACGCGTAATGCAGTCTTTAAAGAGATTCAGGTCGAAGTTTCTCGCGAAGGTGGGAGATAAGCGCACCGGTGACCGTATGGTAACGGAATGAACGTGAGGAGGCGTTGGGAGAAAGGCCGCTGATTCTTCGCCACGATTATGCTTCGTGCATGTCGTTAAACGTATCTCGAACGCCTTACAATGGCCCGTTTATGTGCATGTGCACACACATACATACGCATCCGGCCACGAACGGTAAAATACACGGGCAAACTTCAACATAGTCACTGTGATAACGAGCCACGTTTTTGAACTTTGATCCCAATGAATATGACCGGGGTCGATAAAGATGTAGGAAGAATGGTGGTACATTTAAAACCCCGGAAAATGTTGTTAATTTTTCATAGGAAGTTCTTGAAATGTAGTGTAAGTCGTTTCTAATTTCCTCGATGAACTTTCGCGTGGACTCCTGGAATGTTATTAAATTGTTCCTATGGTATATAGTATATTTCATTCGATTCTCCGTCGGTAAATGATAAATTTACTAATATATTAATTTATACTGGATAAAATATAAAAATAATTGCGAGTTTTTCTTGAAACATGACATCATTTCTAATGTTGTCAATCAATTTTTCATTTTCGTGCATATTTGCGAAATATTATTAAATTGTTCCTATAGTATAGTACGTTTCATTCGGATCTCTGTCGGTAAATGATATGATTTTCTAATATACGATAAATAAGATATAAAAATATTTGCGAATTTTTGATAGGGAATTTTCTTCTTTTTAGGGAAACTGGTATAAATCATTTTTAATCTTTTAATGAATTTTTTTAATGAACTTTGTGGATCCGTGAAATTGTTCCTATAATACGTTTCATTCCCGTCTCTGTCGGTAAATGATGATAGATTTATTGAAATACGATATATAACGTACAAGAATATTCTACGATTTAAAGAAAATATATTTTTAATAAAAAAAATAGGATAAATTCTTCATTTTTTTTTCTTTTAATATTGATTATTTTATTATCGATTTAATATCGAAATTTTGTCTCATTTTTCATTAAAAAGTCACGATTTGTTATTAAGAAGTGCATAAAGGAAATCGCAATTTTAACCATCGATACTTCATTACCGATCGAAACTTTGATCGCTAATCCATTGTTCGTTACATGATACCGTACAATCTCCATTCCATTCCATCCCATCCCATCCCATTCCATTCCATTCCATAATTAATCGAAGAATTTTTTGCAGTACCGACGATATCACGCCACGACACGACACGACATTAGGGTGAGGTTAATAATAACGCGACACGTTCGATGTTGCAGAAGTTCGGAGGATCACGGATCCGGCGGGGTTAGCGGAGGTGGAGTTAGCGGAGTCGGAAGCGGTGGCGGCGGGAGTTCCGGGATCGTCAGCGGGAGCGTTGGAAGCGGAGTCGGCGGCGGCGGCGGCGGTGGCAGCGGCGGTGGCGGTGGCGGCGGCGGCGGCGGCGGAGGATCCGCAAATGGAGGCGGCGGCGTTGGAAGCGGAATCGGAGGCGGCGGCGGCGGCGGCGGCGGCGGTGGCGGTGGCGGCGGTGGCGGTGGCGGTGGCGGAGTTAACGAGAGAGGAGAGAGGGAGAGAGAGAGGGAGCGAGAGAGGGAGAGGGAGAGGGATCGGGAGCGGGACAGGGATCGAGACAGGGACAGGGACAGGGAGCGGGAGAGGGAGAGGGAGAGGGAGAGGGGGAGCGAGGGCTTCGAGTCACGTGGCTCGCACGGCAGTTTCTACACGAGCGAGCGAACCGGCCGAGGGGTCGGATCCGGGGGTGGTGTCGGCGGTGTCGGCGGCGGCGGCGGTGGCATCGTCGTCGGCGGCCATCCGGCGGATCCTTCTCCCGGTGATCCTGGCGGCTACATACCCCGCGGCCGTCCACCTCCTGCGAGCTCTTACCACGTGACATCGAGCAGGGCGAGGGATCGGCTCTACTCGAGAACCGGCCCGTACGCCTCCGGGCCGCCGCCCCCGCCCCACTTAGATCGTCATCGCGGTGGATTGCCGCCGTCCTCTTGGTCGGCGTACGAGTCGACCACCTCGAGGTACGGCAACGCACCGCCGCCACCCTCGCCTGCCAACAACGATGCCTACCAGGACGAGCAAGGTAATAGTCATTCTTGCTCATTCTTCGAGTTTCTCGCTTTCTTCTTCGTCCTCGACGACTATCCGCTCGTCTTTTTTCTCGCCACGCTTTTTTCTTGCTATAACACGCTTCTTTCGTACGTAAGCGCGGAAGAGAGGGAATCCTCCGACCCACGTGCGCTTTAACGCGTTATCTACCGAGTATATTTACCGACCGAGTCCTCGGTTTTTCAAATACCACGCTTGGCAATTCGTTCTCGCGCGCGGGAACCGCGGCCATCCATCCGAAACGACGGTTAACGGTAGCAACGTTCGAGAATTCGAACTTTGCTCGTGCATGAGAATACGGCAATTGGAAGTGGCACGCGGTCGAGATGAACGCGCGGCTTTTTAATTAGCGTATTATTATACATACGTACGATTAATTGTAAGACTAATAGTAGCAATAATAATAATAATAATAATATTAAGAATAGCCGAGGAGACGGACAACGAGACAAAGGAATAATAACGACGAAATATACGTGTGTAGATTACATTCGTCGTGTTGTTCCACTAGGCGGCGGTGGAGGTGGCGGCAGCGGTAGCAGCGGTGCGCTGCGACAGCACAAAAAACAGCGCAGAAAATCGCGAAGCGGAAGCAGCTCGCCGAGCGGCAGTAGCCGTTCAGGGAGCAGTAGCAGCAGCCGCAGCGGCAGTTCCGCCGCCAGCACTTCCGGGGCAAGCACGTCGCCCGGCAGCTCGCCCCACCGAGGCGGAAATGCGGCCGTCACCGAGGACCGCAGGCCGCTCGCTATTTGCGTGCGTAATTTGCCGGCACGCAGCAGCGACACATCCCTCAAGGACGGCCTGTTCCACGAGTACAAAAAGCACGGGAAAGTGACGTGGGTGAAGGTGGTGGGAGCAGCGGGGGATCGTTACGCCCTGGTCTGCTTCAAGAAGCCCGAGGACGTGGAGAAGGCGCTCGAGGTTTCCCACGACAAATTGTTCTTCGGATGCAAGATCGAGGTTGCCCCTTATCAGGGTTACGATGTCGAGGACAACGAGTTCAGGCCTTACGAGGCCGAGGTCGACGAGTATCATCCAAAGGCGACCAGGACCCTGTTCATCGGCAACCTTGAGAAGGACGTCACCGCGTCCGAGCTTAGGAAGCATTTCGAGCCTTTTGGCGAGATAATAGTAAGTCGGGATTCCAGTGGAGGAAGGTTGAAAGTTGGTCGACCGGTTAAGCGCGCCCTTTTTTTTTTCAAATCAAAAATGGCGGCGATCGAGTTCCTCGATTTTATCGCATTCGTAATCGAGCATTAAACTCGATATATAATTTTGATCTTTTCATTGTGAGAATGTCAAACTTTAGAATATTCTGAAAGCAATAATAAAAATAAAATAAAATAAAATGAAATAGAATATCGAAAGATTCAAAAATGAAAAGTTTTTCGATAATCTTTTAACAATTTTTAACAACTTGAAAAAGAAGGAACTGAAGGAAGTATGGGTGTCTATGGGAGAGAGATAGCGATATCGATACAACGTATAAAAAGAGACTTTTCTGACACGATTTTGCTAATAACATCGATACGTTTGATGGATGATTTATTTTATTAGAGGAGAATTTTCGAATCAGATTCTAAGTTTATGACGCATGTTATTCGACCAAAGCGGATATTAGCATTTGAACCGGACGTGAAACGGCCTTTTAAATTCCAATCGTTATGTTAATATTTTTCCCAGTAATATGTTTCTGCCATTTAAAACGACCACGTGTCGTCTTCTTGGATACGTCACCCGTCATAAATGATTCAATCTCTCCCTCTACTAGATTAATTAATTATAGATTACATTATTAATACTTTAATAACGATAATCCTGTCATTTATGTATATATATATATATATATATATATGTATATATATATATTCAATAATTGAACTCTAATGAATTAAGAATTTTCTTTTTTTTTTTTTTTTTTTTTTTTAATTAAATAAAAATCTAGCGAGAATTTCACTTTGGCAAATATCATCGAATCACGAGTTATACGAATGTTGCAGGAAATAGATATTAAGAAACAAGGCGCCGTATCGAGCTATGCCTTCTGCCAATACTCCGACATCGGCAGTGTCGTCAAAGCTATGCGATCGATGGACGGCGAACACCTGGGTGCGAATCGAATAAAACTCGGATTTGGAAAGTCGATGCCCACGTCCTGTGTATGGGTTGACGGTATCGGAGGTAATTATCGTAAAGAGCCATATATCGATCTCCCCTCGTGTAAAACTATATATATATATATATGTTTATTAGCCCCTGAATGAATGCTATAACCATTTGTAATATACTTTTGCGATCGAGAAAAATTGTCAATAATTAAAATTCTCTAGATCGTGACCGAAACGAAGGTACAGGACACGCTTCAACAAAGAAGATGTTTATTATTATTATCGTAATAAATTTTCGAAATTATCCTCTCGATTTAAAATTCTGTCGTACGATCAAAATATCACTTACCTACCGTCGGTAAGAGTCTAAAAATTAAACGTAAATAAATATTTAATGCAACGAATAGAACGAATAGAATATCGTGAGATAAGAGGACGAACAAACTGTGCTTTATATACGTTTGTGTTCGTGTCAATATATGTTTATTCCAAAAGAAACATTTCTTGCAAAATTTCCTTCCAAATAAAATCAGCATGCGTTATTTCAGATTGTATGTCGGAAAAGTACCTGAACATGCAGTTCCATCAGTTTGGACCGATAAATCAGGTGGTGGTCGATCGCGAACGAGGGCACGCTTTGGTCTTCTTCGAGCAGATCAGCTGCGCCCAAGCCGCCGTGAAGGAGATGAGGGGCACCGCTCTTCGCGGCCGCCGGCTTCAGGTCGATTTCGCCTCCAGAGAGTGTCAGGAAACGTTTTACGAACATCTCGAGCGGCAAGGGATCGCCGGTGAAAGACCTTGGGACACGAGGCCTTCCCCTGCGACGACCTTCGATGTCTCGTACGTATAATTTCCGATTTCGAAACTTACGTCTCGAGCCCTAATTAATCCACCCTGATCCACCTTTTCTCACTTTTCCAAACAAATTAATAACTCAATCGATAAGATAGTAATATTTTCTTTCTTTTAGTAAGTTCTTATTTATTATCCCATACCATTTACATTTCTCTCTCTCTCTCTCTCTCTCCCTCTCTACATAAACATGTTTTCGAAGAAGAATTTTTGAATCGTTATTATTATTATAATAATAATAATAATAATGCGTGAAGCATTTTACGAGGTAAAATTTTTCCAAGGACGAGATGCACTTTACGGATTAGCGTTATCGAGTCGCGAGAAAAACAAGACACGTATATATATTTTTTTCAACGAAACGACGATTCTTCTAAAGAGACAATTTTTCAAAGAAAAAATTCAAAATTCTTCTCATCGTCGAAATAATCCATCCATTATTTTAATACGATTATTTAATTATTTGAAAATTATTGAAAAAACATTTATCATTGAAAAAAGGCTCGAATACCTCGCCAAACTTCCCACCTTATATATATATATATATATATATATATACATACATATATACATATATATATACATATATATCACGTACGATCTCTCGATCTCCTGCAGCAAGAGAACACGAAACATAGTACACATCCGTTATTTGAAGGATTCCTTCCAGGCGGGAGCGCAGCAGTTTCGACTCCGGGGTAACGGTGTCGAACTCGAGTAGCCGGTTCACCCGCTACGAGACGCCCCCTAGGTCGAGAACGGCGAGTTACTCCCGCGCGTCGGGTGGCGGAAGCACGCCGGGCGCTAGCCCGGCCCATCCGACGGCAATGTCGCGCAGCAGCAGGCGCTCCTACCAGGACACGTACTACGACGGCGATTACAGCGAGCCCGCGCCGCGACGGTTCCGAAGCTACGACGAGTTCAGCCAGGGGAGCGGGGCAAGCCACGACGATTACCAGAGCAGCGTGCTAGGCGATGGGAAGTTGAACGACGACGATTGCCCACCTCCGTCCCGACGGCACGCCGTCCAGAGCGTCGTGACTAGCGTCGACCCCCCTGCCCCGCCCCCGCCGCTTCTGCCCCCTCCGGACATAAGACACCTGCAGAAGGAGAGGGTCCATCTGTTGGAACAGTTGGAGGAGTGTCACAGCAGCGGGGACGAGGTCGGTTTCGCGCCCAAGAAACGTGCCAAACTCGACGGCGCCTCGACCGCTATATTGTGCGAGGACGACGAGCCCGAGATCGCATCCTTGTTGGTCACCTCGCATTCGAGTAGGAAAGGGATGGACATACGACGGGTGAGCGATGGAAAAGTAGTGATACATCACAGCACGAGGAGGGGCAGCTGCGAGGGGAGAGGGCCGGGACCTTGCAAGCGGCGTCGCGATGTTGCCAATAGGTAGACTCCTTTAACTTTCCTCTCTCGTAATGTAAACAATTTTTTGTGTCTATATNTATGTATATATATGTATGTAATATATACATATATATTATATTGTATATATATGTATATTATATGTATATATATGTATGTATATATATGTATATAATATATACATATATATTATATATATGTATATGTATGTATATATATGTATGTAATATATACATATATATTATATACATATATATACATGTATATAATGAATATATATATGTATATGTATATGTATAGGTATGTATGAAACGTATGTTTGATATCTATTGAAGGCATCACGAGCATCACGACGGATCGCGGCCAGGAACGCCGTTGGTGGACGAGAGGCCGGAGAACCTGGTGCCTAGCGAGCCGAGGCGGTTTCGGGAGAGGAGCCACGACGGTCCTTTGTCGTTGCCTTTGCCAAGGTTCGCTGCCCAAATGTTGAATAACAACAATAACAACAACAGCAACAACAACAACAACAGCGGCATCAACAGCAACAGTGGCAGCGGAAACAGCGGCAACAGTGGCGGGCGACCGAGCAGCAACTCCTCGAGCCTCGCGAAGATGGCCAGTCCACCGTGCGCCAATCTGTCCACGGCGCCGAGCCCCCGAACGGCCCCCCAGCCTCCCGCCTCGCCGCCGCCCCGCCACCCGAGCCCCAGCCCGACGAGCTCCGACAGCGAGACGGCGCCCCAATCGCCGAGCCTCGAGGAAAGGATACGCTCCCTCGACGAGAAGTACGAGAAGTGGTCCGGGTCGAGGGCGTTGAGCGCCGCCGGTGGCGACGCCCTCGCCAAACTCGACGCGACCGCATCCGAGAGGTTCAGGTTTCGGCACAAGCTGCTCGACTTGGATCTGCACGAGGTGCAGCCTAGCGACATAGTGAAATCGGTCCTTGCCAAGAGGAGCGTGTTCGACGAGGACTCGAAGCGGTTGGAGAACTTCAGCGAGAAATACGAGCCGAGAGAGTTCACCGGCGTGATAGGCGTCGGTTCGATGATCGGCGCCGCGGCCGGCCTCGCCTCGAGCGGCGGCGGCGGCGGCGGCGGCGGCTGCACCGGCAAAGTCTGTTTGCAGTATCCGTTTCCTAGTCACCCGCCGGTACAATTGTCAACGTCCACGTCTGTCGCCGGCCAAATCATCACCACCACCACCACCACCAGCACCACCATCAGCAGCACCAACAACACCACCGCCACCACCTCCCTCTCCTCGAGTTTAACCTTCACCACCGGCATGTCGTCGGCGTTGAAGGCTGCCGACCCGAGGACAGGCGTGCAGCACAACTGCGTGCACCCAACGCCGACCACCCCTGTGACACCCGGCACCTCGATCAAAACTGTCAGCCCCGAATTACCACCGGTTTCACTACCGATCGGTCTTGGTAGCGGAACGGCAGCCACCAACAACGGCAACAATAGCAGTAGTGGCGGTTTAGCGTCGGCTAGTAGTATTCTTAGCGGCAACGGTAGCGTAAGTAGTATTCACGCTCTTGGAGCGTCTACGGGGCGAGGGTTGGCCGGTAGCGGCGGGTGTACGGCGTCCACACCGAGCTCGACGACGACGACGACCGCGACGACGCCTGCCATCTCGACGGCAACCTCCACCGCCGCATCCACCATCACGTCGAGTAACAACGGTGCTGGTGGTGGTGGTGGTGGCCAGTATCATCAGACTTCCATGTCCACCGCTTGTTCAGCCTCGTCGTCTTCAACAACGACGATCACGACGACGACGACGACGACGACGGCGACGACAACGACGACGGCTACGGCGACGACGTTGTCGTCGACGTCCATTACAGCTTCATCCGCCTCCTCTTCGATCACCAACACATCCTCCACCTCCTCCTCCTCCTCCTCCGCCGCATCGTCGCTCTCGTCATCCTTGGAAAGTTCCCGCTCCAGGCCGAGGAAAGAGGTCGGCGGTAGTGGGAACCGCGAGGGCAGAGAGTCTCGGGACGGGAAGGACGGGTCGAAGTACAGCGGCGGGAAGAGCGGGAAGGATTGTCAGAGGAAGTCGAGGAAGGAAGAGAACTCGGGCGAGGTGGAGAGAAATAATCGTAACAAGGATCGGGGGGAGGAGAAGGACGCGGCGACGGGGGGAACGACCGACGTCGGCGACAACGACAACGGCGGCAACAGTAGTAGCAACAACAACAATAATAACAACAACAACAACAACAACAACAATAACAACAACAATAACAACAACAACGGTCACACGTTGAGGGAGAGCAAGGAGATTACCCGTTACGAGAGGAAGGAGAGGGAGGAGAAGGAGCGGAGGGAGAAGGAGGAGAGGCGGGAGAAGGAGGAGGAGAGGAGGGAAAGGGAGAGGTTGGACAAGGAACGGCAGGAGAAGGAGAAACGGGAGAGGGAGGAGAGAGAGCGGGAGAGGAGGGAGAGGGAGGAGAGCGAGGCAAAGGAGAAGGAGAGAAGGGAGAAGGAGCGGGTGGAGCGGGAGAGGAGGGAGAGGGAGGAGAGGGAGAGGCGGGAGCGGGAGGATCGGGAGAGGAAGGAGCGGGAGGCGCGGGAGAAGCAGGAGAAGCAGGAGAAGGAGAGGGCGAGGAAGGAGAGGGAGGAGCAGGAGAGGCGGGAGAAGGAGGAGCGGGAGAGAAGGCGGGAGGAGAAGGAGCGGGTGGAGAGGGAGAGGAAGCGGGAGAGGGAGGAGAAGGAGAAGGAGCGGGTGGAGAGGGAGCGGCGGAAGGAGAAAGAGGAACGGGAACGGGCGGAGAAGGAGAAGAGGGAGAAGGAGGAGAGGGAGAGGGTGGAGCGGGAGAAGCACGAACGGGAGAAGAGGCGGGAGCGCGAGGACCAAGAGAGGCGGGAGAAGGAGAAGTCTGAGCGGGAGAAGAGAAGGGACAGGGAGGAGAAGGAGAAGGAGAAGAGGAATCGGGAAGAGGAGAGCAGCAGCGGCAGGCGACAACCCACCGAGAATCACGTTCATCAATCTGCCTCGCAATCGCAAAATCAAATATCCCCTGCTCCGGTGTCCATCAAGCGACGGTGCTCGTCGCAGGATGGACCACCCGAGGAGGACGCTAAACGCATGAAGATCTCGGAGCACAGGAGGGACAGCAAAGACCGGCCTAGGCAGTCGAACAGGAGATCGGAGGATCGCAAACACCGGAACGATTCTCACAGGTCGAGCCGGGAGAGCAGGGAGAGCCGCGACAGCAAGGAGAGCACAGGATCCGTCCAAGGATCCCAGGACAACGGTAGTAGTAGTAGTAGTAGCAGGGAGCAGCAACAACACGGTGGTAGTAGCGGCGGCGGCGGCGGCGGCGGCGGTGGCGGAGGCGGTGGCGGTGGTGGCGGCGAGGCGAACAACAGAGAGAATCAACGGGAGAACAACCGAGAGACCAGTAAAGAGAAACAACGAAGCAAGAGGAATCGTTCGGAGAAGGAGTCGAGGGAACGAAGCCCGAGGGTGTCTCACGAGTCGGATAAAGAGTTCCTATCGAGACTGGATATCTCGAAGCGCAATGATTCCAACTCGCCGAGCGAGCAGAGTACGAATCATTCGCGAGAAATGCAGCAGCAGCAACAGCAGCAGCAGCAGCAGCAGCAACAACAACAACAGCAACAACAACAACAGTCTTCCATGAATCTGCACAGCGACGTGGACGATGGCCCTTTATCGACTCACGACATCCAGGTGGCCAGACATCCATCCGCCACCACAGACACGGACAGCGACGAGCCGAAGAAACACTCGATTTTCGACATAGTTGACGACGAGCCTGCCTACATCAGCATGTACGACAAGGTGAAGGCACGCTCGACAAAGAACATGCAGAAACTGGAGGAGGAGAAGCGGCAAGTACGACTCAAGGACAAGTTCTCGCAGTTGAAACAGAGTCGAGCGAGGAGGGAGGAGAAGAAGCAGAGCACCTCGTGGGACGGCGACTCGGTGTCGAGCAAGGCTTTGACGGAGGACGAGGCAACCTCCGAATCCGACTCGGCCAGGGCCAAGTCTTTGTCGAGGAAGAGTTCCAGATCTCGAATTCACTCGGACACCAGCGAGGAGGAGGAGTCGTTCAACAACAAGATTCGAAAGGTGGTGAAGACCGAGAGGTTCTTGGAGAGCGACGTCGACCTCGGATTCGCCGACACGGAGGAGAAACACAATTCTCTCGAAACGACGAACGTGGTAGTGAACAGCGTTCACTCGAACGTGAAGGAAGAGCCTCGTACGTCGGACGACGACGAAAGAGTTCCCGTTCCTTTCCGTGGCAATCATCCGGCGATCGTGGTCAACAATCACGAGCGCGACTCCCGTAAAAAGTCGCACAAGAAGAAGCAAAAGCGGCAAAAGAACTCGATATCGAACGAGGAGAACAGCCTGAAAACCGAGTCGTCGGAAACCGTGGTCGAGCACAAGAACAAGTCGAACACCGTGGCGAGTGGTAACGCGGATTGTCGACCTAATCACACGTCCGAGTCCATCAACGTGTCCACGACCGCGACGTCCGCTACGACTACGCTCGAGAACACGGAGGAGAGGATAAGATCGGACAAGAAACAACGGAACAAGAAGGACAAGAGGAGGGACAGGAACGGCGACGACAAAGCCAAAGCGAGGAGGAAGAGGTTGAACAGGCAGGAGGCTAGAGATTCGCAACGAATGGAGGATATATTCGGCCCGTTGTCGGACGACGTGGACGACGGCCCGTCCAACAACGCTCTTTTCAATCGGTTGGGTAACAACGCGTACGCCTCGGACAGCGACGGTGGCCACAGCCCTGGGCTGGACGTGGAGCGAGCCAGGCGGAAGGCGGAGAAGAAGCAGCGTCGCCACCAACCGGAGGACGAGAACAGCGTGGACTTGGCGGAGGCGGGGCGTGAGATCGAGGCGAAGCTTCTGGGCCTGCCCAACTCGCCGAAATCGGGCGTGGCTTGTACGGAGAGCAACGACCACGATGTGTTCCGGTTCACCGACGATAACGACAGCGTGGAACCGTCCACGCCGTCCGCTATTCCAGAGAAGGTGAAAGAGAAGAAAAAGAAGAGAAAAAAGTCGAAGGAAGAGCGCAGCCGGAAGGATTACCATCATCATCACCATCATCATCACCATCATCACGAGAAGAGCGGCGAATTGCCTTATTTGGGAGCTGATCCCAGCCCTCCGAGGGCCAGTAGCCCTCTCGTATCGAAAACGATGTCGCCTACCTTACCTACGCCCAGGGACACCTTGCTGAGTCCCATTCCGAAGGTCGTGTCCAACGTGACGACGATGCCGTCGATGACGCCCCCTCCCGTGGTTGGAAGTGGTATTCAATCAACAAAAACGGAAAAGAAGAAGGACAAATTTATACCAGGGTTCGGTATCGAGATCGATGAAACGATTCATGATAACGCGGTGAAGAGTATCTCGGAACCGGAGGAGCGTGAGAGCAATTGTCAGTCGCGCGGCGGTAGGGAGGAAGCGGAGGTGAATGCATCGACAACGCCACCCACGCAAACGGAGGACAAGCCACGAGTGGCCATCTCTCAGGAAGAGACGGAGGACGCAGTCGCTGCTTTGCTGGAGGAAACTTTCGGAGGATCGACGGAAGATTTCTCGTACGAGGGCGAGGAAGAAGACGCGGAAGCTGAAGACACGGTCGGAGCGACGGCCGAGGCGCCTCAAGAGGATGTCGAGGAGATGCAACAGGCCGTGGAAAGTCTGAACGCTTCGACGGGAGAGGGTGAAACTGATATGAAACCGGATACTCCTCAAAGCGAGCACGATCTGCAGATAGACACGGACACGGAAGAAGACCCGAACTACGAGACGTTCGATTTGACGCAACCGCCTAAAACGCCAGACATTCCATCATTCTACAAATCGCCCACGAAAACCATCAACGCTATCGCGCCTTCCCTGGCGGCGACGACAGAGAAGGCCATCGAATCTCGAATCTCGTCCATACCCGTGAAATCGCAGAGTCCACCGCCAACCTCTGTGATCGCGCATTCGTGGAACTTGAACGAGAAGCCGCGAGAAATAACGAAAACCGTGCAAGCGATGGAAAACGTGGAGACAAACGTGACCGCGGCCAGTCCGGAGAGGATTAACTCGCAGCAGGCGCGTCGAGCTTCGACCTCGCCACCTCCTCAATACAAACAGCCAGTCTTAGGTCCGTGCAGCGTACCGATTACCAGTGAAACTCCTAGAATAGCCGCGGTCAGTCCTAGACCACCGCCGATCAGCGTGCAATCCTTGTACCAGAAGCTGCCCGTTTCGCCGCAATCCCAGATGGTACCCATGCGACAAACCTCTCCCCGAATGCAGAACATCTCCGCCGTTTCGACATCAGCCTCCTCGAATCAAACTCCTCTGCCACCTCTAGTTCCATCCAGAATGCCACCTTTGGTGCCGTCGCAATTGTCGCCGAGAATCCTGCAACCGTTGTCACCTAACGGGCAATGGTCTCGAAACTCGGCGCTCAGCCCACACGTACCAAGCGTCGGTAAACCGTCTCCTCCACCGGCCAGGATAGCTGTAAGCGTGCCCGTTTCAGCGCACAGACCGGAAGCACCCGCGCAACAGATTTATTCCACGGCTGCCACCCAACAACCCGTCATTCAGCACGCTCCTGGAATGAGAGCTTTGGCGCCTAGTCATCCGAGAGGAGGCTTGCCACCTCTCACGCTCAATATCCCACACCGTCCTTACATGCCTGTACCACCGTTGGCTCCGGGTGTACAAGTGAAAAGCTCGAGGGATTCCACCCTGGGTGGGAAATCCGTGATTGAGACGTTACTTCCGGTAAATCCTAACGAGCCTCCCCAGCGACTCGAGGAACCGAAATTATCGCCAGCTGTTATTCCAGAGCCCACGAACAAGGCTTCCACCTCACCTAAAGTTCCATCGCCGAATCAACCGCCCACGTATATTCCCGAGACGGCGAAGATCGAGATAAACGCCAGTACGTCGAGCCCAGTGTTCGGCAAACCGACCAGCATCTCGGACACTTGCACCTTGTCGTCCAGAAATCAGAAACAAATTTCAGGCGCCATAACGACGGATGGTAATTTGTTGTCCCCGAGACAGAAGCAAGAAATTTCGAGCCTTCAACTTTTAACTACTCATGTGCCACGCTCCTCAACGCCGAGCCCTGTGATAGTCAGTCATGGACAATCTCACCTAGTCCACAAGTCTGTGGTGCATACTATCGGTGCATCCACCGTGTCTTCGGCCAATCAACCGTTGATCAAGACGGTTGTACCTATAGTTTCGCAGCAGATCGCGTCCACGGTACCTGTTTCCGTATCCGAAGAGAAGTGCATCATTGCGCAGGCGTCGCTACCTCTTAGCACGAGCAAGAGGCACTCGCCGATAATGCAGAGCAGTCAGTTGTCGAAGCCTCATATACCATTAGTATCCACGGTGTCGCAAGCCATTATCGCTAGAACTGTACCATCGACGGTATCCACGGTATCGTCGCCACCGATCAACAACGAGCAAACGACGACCGAGTGCGTGGAATCGCGTCTATCGTCGGACCAAGAGTTGGAGGTGGATGACGCGCAGATGGCGCAAACGGCGCAGCCCATGCAACTTACTCCGCCCATACAACCTACACAACCGATGGACATTATAAAAGAAGAACCGCCCGAAATTTCGAAACGAGAAGACACCACGATGAAAGAGGAATCACGCAGCGAAGAATCGGAACGTCCGTTGAATCAACCAATCTGTACCAACGTGGACGTGAATAATCTTACCAAGGTAGAGTCACAGGATCTTGTCAAATCGGAAAAATTATTATGTACGCCGAAATGTGAATCTAACGATAACAATCTTGTTCCCAAAATGGAAATCGAGCCCTCTTCGGTTAAGTCAGAATCCGCGAACAACGAGATCAAGGAAGAGGAGGCTGTGAAAGAGAACGAAGAAGCGGATATGGACGAGGAATCGGCGGAGGATCCGTTGAAAGAACCGAGCACAGATCCACTTGCCATCGACGTGTCTAAAGAGGATCCAACGGATAGTAAAGAGGATAGTGATTATTGGTCGGCCAAAGAAGTGAATATCGAGAGCGTAATAAAGAAAGTAGACGCGTTGTGCGATGGCGAGGGCAATGACGGTGACGAAACGCAACATGATCAAAACACCAGTAACGAGACGCAGGAGCAACCGAAATCCAACGAATCGGAATGGTTCAACGCCGAGGTAACGGAGACCGAGAACAAGAAGAACTTTGCAGCAAACGATGATCAGGATGAGGGTGTAGAAACGTGTGAAAGTGAATCGACCAAGAGTCGTCGTGGTAGGACAAAGAGCAGACGTGGCGGTAGCCGAGGTGGAGTAACCACCAGGCGAAGCAGTAGAAATACTGCTACTGTAGTGCATAAACGGGGAGCGAGAACTCCTAGAGGAAGCAAACATCACGTGGAGAAGAACAAATTGCCAGCTGACGTTTACGAGTTTCACGACGACAGTGAGGAGGACAATGCCGGACGGCCACGATTGATTCTCACGATCAAGTCTCCAGTACCGAATCTATCCGGTCCCAATGCGCAACCAGCGACACCTATTGCCGCAGTGAAAGAAGTACCGCCAGAAGAGTTTGTCCCTCCAGCGGCGAACACGAGAAAGTCGAGGAGATTGGCCGAGAGAGATGGAATTAGAAACACGATCGACGATGTGATCGAAGATGTCGTTCGTGGTTCCGCGGTGAACAAGAATGTACTGGGAGGATCTGGCAATGTTCACGCTACCAGACGAAGCACCAGGCACAACAATTCGCCTCGCGTACAGACCACGATGCAATTGACCGAACCTAGAAAGTCGCCGAGAAGCATGCGCGGTAAATCTGCGCGAAGAACATCCGAGAACGATGACGACGAAGAGTATCGCGAATTGATGAAAATGAAGGAAACACCATCCATACCTCAAGACCTTCAAAACAAAGAAGAGAGTGTTCCAACTCCGGATGAAACTCCAAAAGCGGAAGAGGCCAGTCAACCTGTATCAGAACCAACACAGAAACCAGTTTCTCATGAACCAATGACGCTGATAGATCCGGTGACTGGAATGTTGATACCGATGAGGGAGTCGGAGGAAGGTCAATACATTCCAGTTTCTACGACCTCTGGACAGACGCAATCCGTAAACAGAAATGCGTGCGAGTCCAGAACTGCTCCAGTAATGATGGCAAATGCTGTTCTTAACACGAGTGGAGTGTTAAGACCGAAACCACCTCAACCGGAAAATCTAAGTATTTCCGAAGAACCGAAAAAAGAACAAATTCAAGAACCGGGCCAAAATCAACAGATTCAACCACAGACCAGCGTTATAACGAAACCACAATCTCCGGTAGTTCAAGTAACCTCTACGGTCAGTATAATTCAATCAGCGACAACTTCCACCACCGTTACTTCTGTGGCTACAACAACGGTGGCGATGCCAACGACACCTACTTGCTCAACTCAATCGAAGCCTACGAGCCTCAAGGCTCATGTATTAAATGCTAGTAAATTAGCTACACCAGTGCAACAACAAGTGGTGATCACGAAACCAGCAACTCCTAGCGTGCCTAGCCAATCGGTTGTGCAAAACATCGTAAAATCCACTCAACCGATGCAAGGTCTACACCTACAAGTGTCCAGTAACAGAGTGGTCTCGCCGAGTTTGAGCCCACGCAGTAAACAAACACCACAAATTAGCGCAGCGAATGGAAAAAGCCAAGGGCAGCCTATGTCACCAGTTCTCAATAATACTGGTGTTCCACCGAATCCGAAACAGCATCTTTTGCAAGCGGCCAAACAACAAACATCCGCGATAGTGAATCTTCCTTCTCAAAAATTACCTATGAACGTTCATCCAGCTAATGTAACTACAACACCTACCCCAAGAATCCATCAACCTGTTTCCCAACCAACAGCATTAAAGGCTATTAATGGCCAGCCACATCCTCTGAATCCAAAAGCACATTTGCTGCAGGCAGTGGTGCCACCAATGGTCACAGGTGCAGTAGCCAGTCCACCTACTCAACCTCATATGATGAATCCACAACCCGCTAATGTGAGCTGTTCGCGACCTCCAGCACCAAAACCATCAGTAAGAGTTTTTTGTTTTTTTTTTTACATATAATATAATATATATAATATATAATATATATATATATATATATTTATTTATATTTATATAATATAATATAATTGATTTGAGAAAATAGATTGACAAAGTTAAGAGAAAAAAACTTAATTTCTATTTTGATTGTAGGTAACGGGAACAATGGAACCACCAAAAGTAGAAGTATCAATGTCTGGCTGTATTATGGTTCCAACTGCGAGTCCTCAAGCTCGAGGGGTACCAATATCAACTTATGAAGGACCATTGGTAAGCAATTAATAATCATAATTTGTTATATTTATTATTATTTTAAATCATATATAAAAGTATTACAATTATATATATTGTTTATTTGTGATCCATGCTTATTTTAATTTTGACTTAAATTAATTTGACTTCATCATAGTCAAGTGTCATAATAATAAAAAAAAAACGGATTGTGTGTAACTATATATATATATATTAAAAATGTCAACAAAATAACTAACTTGGCTTGGTTTTGGCTAGCATGGAAGTGCGGGTGCTACTCCATCACCAGGGGGCCAATATGGACTTGTCCCCCCACATCGATCCCAGAGTCCTCCATTGCCTCCACCTGCCCATCATCATACTAATGCTTCTCAGGTACTTACTACGCTAACTTTATTGTAGTTTTATTAAAATACATCAATATAAAAATGTTTGTAAAAGATGTTTTTACCAAACCAAAAAAAAAAAAAAATTTTTCGAATACTGTGTAAAATGACTTTATCCACAATATTCTCGTATCTAGGGTGACGTTGTAAACCATTTTGGAGGTCTAGCAAGAGGAGCAGAGATACCACCTCATTATATGCATCCGCAAATGCTGCAATATCAGTACCTACGTGCACAACAAGAGGCATTAACAGCTCCACGGATATATCATATTCAAGAAACTCGATCTCCTCATTTACCATTAGATCCTAAACTTGAAACAGGCATAGAGGATAGTCACAGTCCACCATTAGAATTGAGACGTAGCGCAAGAACACCTCAAGATCGGACTACTGATAGTCCTCAAGTAGCTCAAGTGTATATGATGCATGGAACAGTGAGATTACCACCACCACCACCGCAATATAATGCTGGAAGTAATCCATCTTTAACTGGTGCGCCAGCAGCTGCCAGAGGTGGTTTTTACGAGCCTCCACCGGCGCATTTGCGTTCTCAATATCCTATCGCCGCCAGTGAAGCGCCAAGTGATAGAGCAATTACACCAGATAGGCCTAGAAAGCACCAAGTAGTTACTCCACCTCATGCTTCTCAAGTGCCACCACAAGCAGACTCGTTTCAAATGTTATTGCAACGTTATCCAGTTATGTGGCAAGGACTATTGGCTCTTAAAAACGACCAAGCAGCAGTACAAATGCATTTCGTTTTTGGTAATCCCAATGTGGCAAGGGACAGTCTACCGTGTAATAGCGATGGCTCCACTCCACCATTGAGAATCGCTCAGAGAATGAGATTGGAACAAACTCAGGTCGAAGGAGTAGCGAGAAAGATGCAGGTATATATTCGAAAATTTTAATTTTAATTTAAATTTTAAATTGTGTGATATATTATAAAATATTATTTTTACACGTATCTAATAATATTTTAAAAAAAGTTAAAATTAAAGTTAAAATAATCTTAAAGCAAAAATTAAAAAATAAATGATAATATGATATTGTTAATATTTGTTTCTAGCTAATTTATTATTTTTTATTGTTTCAGATGGATAATGAACACTGTATGCTCCTCGCACTTCCTTGTGGTCGAGATGAGGTAGACGTACTACAACAAAGCAAGAATCTCCAAACCGGATTTATAATGTATCTACAGCAAAAACAAGCTGCTGGAATTGTTAACATCGCTGCACCAGGATCACAACAAGTATGTAAAGATATATATCTGTATTATAACATTAATATATTTCTCTCGAATTACTTATTAATAGTAATTCGATAGTATCTATGGAATTATTTCAATAAATAATTATAGATAATTATAATATAATATAATCCAATAATATAAAAAAAAAATGTCTCACAAAAATAAATATGTAATTAATTTTGTTTACAGCCTGCATATGTAGTTCATATTTTCCCATCGTGTGACTTCGCAAACGAGAGCTTGGCGCGAATCGCGCCGGATTTGCTGCATCGTGTTGCAAAGATCGCTCATTTGCTCATCGTTATTGCCACCGTTTGAGGCCAACCAGTGGTCTATTGGATTACAATCTATCTATATTTCTCACCTTCACGCACTTATAGGACACTTTGCACGTGGCATGAAGCCTGGAGTGTCCTCCCGACGAAGTGCAGTATCGTACAACAAACGATGAGAATATTTCCGAGAGAATGAAAGATTTCTTCTTTGGAGTTATATCAGTGACAATCAAACGGATTCTTTTGCGAATCGTGCCGACCTTCTAGATCGTAGGCCTAAAACGTAGGTACGGGGTTGTGTAACGTAGAGAGGCTAGCACGGTCAATGTATCAACATCACCGAGCGTGTCTTTCTTCTGCAGTTTAATTTGCGATGATGAGTTCCATTCCTGATATGGAATGACTCTCAGTTCGCTCATCACTGATGACGTTTGTGAGATCGACCGACATCACTCTTGGTCTTTCTGACAAGCGGGTCAGGCACAACCCCAGTCCTTAGTGAAGACCTTCGATTGATAAAAAACCACGCGATGTCCTCACTGTGAAAAGAAAAGATTTAAGGGGAAAAAAAAAAAAAAAAAAAAAAAGGAACAGAAAACTCACAAAACTCGTCCCTCCTCTAGGAAAACAGTAAAATAATATCTACCGTTACTCTAGATGGACAGTCGATTTCATAAGTAAGAGAATAGCAGAAGAAGATTAAAAAAAAAAAAAAACTAACGTACCCTACCACTATAATACACGAGCTATTTTAAGTAAGGCTTAGATATTAATGATACTGTATAAATTATAAGCGAGCCAGCGAGGGCATAACTACTGTGATTTTAATTATTTAACGATATATATCTGCGTAAAGACGAAGAAAACAAAAAAAGTAAAACATAAAATGGTGACCGAGTCTGGTCCACGCGGTATGTGATGTGTTTTTTGTATAATATTGCTCTATATAAATACCTATGTATTATATTACCTGTAACAATAGTTGCTGCTGCCGCTGTTGCTGCTGCTGCTCGTATCGAACTAGAAAGTAAAGTTATGATCTAGACTTCTAGTGAAAAAACATGCAAAAGGACTACCTAAAATAGTGTTTATCCTAGTGTAATATAATTTCCCATAGCAGGATGTAACATATTATTATCATTATTATCATCTTAGCACTATGTACATTATAAACAAATTTTTAATATTCTTATTTTGATTCTTTATTACTATTATAATTATTATTCATTTTATTATTATTATTATTATTATTATTATTATTATTATTATTATTATTATTATCATCATCATCATCATCATCATCATCATCATCATCATCATCATCATCATCATTATCATCATTATTGCTGTCATCATCATCACTAGTATGGCTATCATTATTATTATATTATCATTATTACTATTATTGTCATTATTGTGTTATTATTACTTATTATTAATTATTACTACCACTACTGCTACTACTACTATTACTATTATACTATTATCATCACTATTACTACTATTATTATTATCACTATTCTACTACTACTATATCGCTGCTATCAATTATTATTAACGTTATTACATCAGGCTAGTTAGAACGTACCAATCAACATATTAAAAAAAAAAAAAAAAAAAAAAAAAAAAAAAAANAAAAAAAAAAAAAAAAAAAAAAAAAAAAAGAAAGGGGCTCAAAAGTATGTCATATTGGACGAATAGGATACAGTATGACCGATCTCATTGACCATTGACGTTGCCCCATTCTGTACACTTCCATCCCCATTTCTCTTATCCTTTATCGCCTTCTGCGCGATGTGTCATAGACTCTTTAGCAATCGTATCGAGGATAATAATGCGCTTACGTGTATAGACCAGAAGTTATATTATATCACACGGAGCCGTGGATGAAAAAAAAAAAAAAAAACATTAAGTAATATAAAGAAACTTACCTATTTACGATATTATTGCTGCTGCGCATAGAGCGCATGCCTCTAGAGAATAACCTTATAAAAGTATTAGGGATGGTCAAAACATATATTATTTCTTGCGACCATGTTCAATTGATTCGAAACATCGATTATTTTAAATCGATTAAACGAATATTGTTATGCACAGTTTTTCCTTCTAATTTGTATAATATACAAAGCTCTGTAATTATTAATTAAATTTTAATTATTCATTTTTTTTCTATTGAATATCAAAATGATATATATGACCTGAATTGTATATTGATATTGTATTATATTTAGTAAATACATCTTCGGTTGTAATCAGATTATTTTTAGTACTCGTAATGCGAACAATATATATTGTCCAAATCATACGCAATGTTCTGACAATCCCTAAGAATCGCGATTAATTTAAGGTAACGCGGATACTCGTGGAGCGTGTGCATGTACAGTGTAAAAGATGCGTTGTGCATATGTACAGTGTAGAAGTATAAGTGAGCGAGCGACGATGCGTTTAAAGAAAAAGCATATATATTACAGCTACGATTAAGTATACATAATAGGATGCGAATAAGATGTTCACGTTGCGGTTTATTTCGTTCATTTTTATTAATTATCTTGTACCATTTTTTTTGTTTTTTTCATTCCTCTCCCTCTATATCTATCTTATATCTTTTTTTTCTTCGATATTTTTCTGCTCTTTTTCTGCTCCATTTAAAATAGTTTTATATGTATAAAAAATTCAATTTTCCGCGACGTGTGTGTCTATATCGTGTCTTATCTATCTTGTAAAATATCTGTGAATATTATGATTTAGTTTCTTCCTATTATAGGCTACTGGTATACAAAAAATGTTTATGTTACTACCTACTTAAGAGAAAGAAATGTACAGATATCACCATTTTTGTTTTGTGTTTTACTGTAGTTATTGATAATTATATGGATATTAACGATAATAATAACTATGATTAAAAAAATTCAGCACGGCTCGACGCGTCATTTTTGAAACCCGTTAAAAATGTGTGACGTTTAATTTATACGTGAGATTCATAATGGGGATGATTTATTGCTTACATGATTTATCGAATACAATGAAAAAAAGAAAACGACAAACATTAAAGCGTTTATCATTATAAGTCTGTCATTTAGAAGTTTAGAAGCTGGACTTCATCATTCGAGAGGTAAAAAATAATATAATACGTAAAAATAATACAATTCGTAATTTATTCGAATCTTGTGTGATACATTATTACCATGTTTTCTACATTACTTTTTATGCAATAATACTCATATTGTCGCCTATTTAATAATTCTTAAGTATTCGTTACGAAATTCATTCATGATTTATCTTTTTTTTTTTTTTTTTTTTTAATAAAAATAATTAATTATTTTTATCGTATTAAATGCAAACATATGAGGGCTGATAAAAATGTTCTTTTTTCGATATATTAACAAATTTTGTTATCAAAAATATATATAATACATGGAATTAATTTTTGCCCTCTTTATAATATCCACAGTATTAAGATGCATTTCTATATTATGCTGCTTATAATTGGTTATAAAAATTTTTCATACTATTCATAAATAAAATATAAATTTTAAATTATAATTACACATATAATTGCATATTTGATATTATAAACGGGACATTCAATATATTTTTGAGTCAATGTATTTTGGATATGAGACTTCGTTACAATTCTCATATATGATGTTATGAATCAAGAAATTGTTGAAAAAATGATTCAAAGCTGAAAAAAGATGGCAACTATAAATATACAAAATGTAAATATTTCACAGGTAAGTATATTAAATTTTATAAAAAATTTTGCGTGCCTTCCGTCAAATTATATTCTTCTTATATAAATTTCGATATAAATTTAAATATTTGAATTTTATATTAAGAAAATATAATTTGGTAATAGAAGAAGAATAAAGATAAGATGAGAATTGGCCATCAATGTTCTTTTGAATGCAAAAAATATTTTTCCAAAAATAAAATAAGAGTGAGATTTATGAATTATCGCCATCTTTTAATTGTTTTTAAAAAAATGATTTTTTAAAGAAATATTTTTAACAAAGATGACGTTAGTAATCAATTCTTTTTCTATTATTTATTTTCTCTATATTTGTATTTTATTCGAGATATTTTAGAGATAATGCTGATTCCCGAATTTTTTATATTGTTTCTATTTTTCTTTATTATATTATATAATTCTTTATATATTATATATATTTAAATACTAATGGATATTAAATACTAATCTTTCTCCTTTATCCGAAAAATTTATTCGTTATTCATTATTTGAAAAAAATTCAAATACAAGTCATTACTATATTATTATTATTATAAAATTGGATTTCTCACCAGGTAATATGATATTGAATGTCAAATCTATTTTATACGTAGTTTATGCCTGTTCAAAATACTTATTGTAAGTATGTATCAATAGTTTATAATATGTTTTATATATATAAAGATCTTGTATATATATAAGATCTAACCGGTTTGTATGATATTTTTACATTATTACATTGTTGATCTTAACAGATTAATATGTATTCAAAAATTATATATATATAATGAGTTGTAGGAATTGTACTTAAAGGTTAATCTGTTTCTTTGAAATTGTGCTGTAACATTACTTTTTATATTTGAAAAGGTATTTATTTTATATAATATATATTTTATATGTAATATAATATATCATTTATATGTAATGTAATATATCAACAAAACTATTGCTCATAAGAATGCTTTGAAGAATTTAAGATGGCGCTATTACGAATCAGCAATTCACCTAATGTATTAACAACTTTATCACAAATCTCGTATACAGGTATGAAATTTATAACTTATTTTTATTATTAATTAATGAAATTAAATAATTAAATTATATTTGTATCAACAAACAAATTACCATATCTATTTTATCTTTAGTATATTTAAATTTATAAATAATTTTAATTATAAAAAAATATAAGTTATATTTTAGGAAAAATTATATCATATTTATTTATTAACTTTATACTATTTCTCAAAGATATTGAATATTTTCATAATGATTATTTCATTTTAATAATTATATATAGTTAACAATACATTTCTTAAAGTATTTTGCGTATTTTAACATTAAAAATTAAGAAAATATTTTAAATCTTTGTAGAAATTTTTTACATATTTCTGAAATAATTCATAAAATTCATTAAATTCTTTTTTTTTTTTATTTTTTTCAGCACGTACGCCATTAGGTGAAATACAATACACACGATACGCAACTGCGCATCGTATGAAAAATCTTCATATTACAAGTGTCCGTCGTTATCCTGACCCGCCCACTCTACCGCTTCCTACAAATATCTCTGAAATATTTGCAAATGAGACTGGCCGATTTACTCCTGAAAGAACACGAGATATTGCCGCACCGATATTACTATATAGCAAGAATGATTGCACATCATTTTCCTTGGAACAATTAATAAAACCGAAAGAACATTTGAGTAATTTGGAAAACTGTAATGACACGCATATAGATTCATATGATTGTTTTGGAGCGGTCAGTTTAAATGGCACGATGCAAAGCAATGTACCGAAACCATTTTCCTCCAATGGAAAATCGACACATTTG